TATTGCAACAGCCACAAAATTGGACATAGATGAACCTGGGTCATCTGTTGATCAGAAGCTGTATAGGGGTATGATTGGTTCACTTTTGTATCTTACTACTATCAGACCTGGCATTGTTTTTAGTGTAAGGCTTTGTGCTCGATTTCAAGCAAATCTAAAGGAATCCCACTTGACTGCTGTTAAGAATATTGAGATACTTGAAAGACACTACTGACCTTTGCCTTTGGTATCCAAAAGGTAGTAACTTTAACCTAGTGGGATAGTCTGATGCTGACTATGCAAGTTTACTTGTGGATAGGAAGAGCATCTTAGGTATGGCACACTTCATTGGTTCATGTCTTGTGTCATGGGATACTAAAAAGCAAAATTCAGTGGCCTTATCTACTGCTGAAGCTGAGTATGTTGCTGTTGCTTCCTATTGTGCTCAATTGTTGTGGATCAAGCAGCAGTTGATGAATTTTGGTATTGAAGTTGGTTGCATCCCTATTTTCTGTGATAACACTAGTGCTATTAGTATGACTAAGAACCCGGTTCATCATAATAGAACTGAGCACATAGATGTTAGACACCATTTTTTGAGGGACAACTATGAGAAAGGACTGATCACTATAGAATTTTGTTCTACTGATAAACAGATTGCTGACATCTTTACAAAAGCACTGAATAGAGAGCACTGTGAAAGGAATAGGTTAGAATTAGGGATGATTAAGATCACCTAATGGGATCAGTTCAGAATGCATAATTGAAAAAAATGAATTTGTTTTGGTTAGAAAATCTGAAAAATGTGTAAATATCTAGATTAATTTTTGCTCCGTCTCATACTATAACTAGTATACTCCTATGCCATGTGTTAATATGACTCACTGATCTCTAACAAAATTTTCTCTATTTTGGCAAATTGAGGCATGATCAAGAGGATTCTTAGTGAAGAACCTAGTTCATCTAAATAGCGAGGTACGTTTTCTACACTCTGCACAATTTAAAATATTAATATTTAAATCATGAGTAGAGTCCTACCCAAGTCCAAAATCTCAAAAGCCTATCCAATAAAATTTGAACCAGTTCTATTTTAAACTAGAATTCTCACCGTGTTAAAACACCTAGATTCTAAGGAAGCCAAACCACCTATTCAAACTGAAATTTTAGGGTGATTAGACTTCTATTTGGCTACTAAAAGCTGCCATTGTATATTAATTACACCTCCTCCTTTAAATTCATTATCAACAACACTGCAACTCTCCCATAATTTCCATAACCGTCAAAAATTTTCTCTCTTCTCTTCTCTTTGCTTCCAAAATTCTGCACACCCATCTACTTTCTCACAGAATCCAGAGAAAATGACTAACCTCCAAGACAATCCTGGTACACCTCCTCCACCTACTCCCTCTGATTCCTCCACTACTTCTCAACCCAGCACAACCCCTCAACCTAGGATAAGGCGAGTGAAGATGCTTGCTCGCAAAACTATGGCTACGAGTGCTCTTTCAAAGAAACTAAACGCAAAATTAAAGGCTAGTCAAGCCCAAGATTCTGAAAATTCTAATGATTCTTTCAAGTCTGCGAGTGAGGGGGAAGGAACTAGGTCTTCTGATTCTGAACATGCAACATCTGTGCAAAATCCCCTTTTTGAGGTACATTCTGTTCTAGTTAAAAATTTGGATAAAATCGTTTTGTTTTGGTTGGGTCTGTTATGTATGTGGAAATGCCTGAGTCAAGAAGGAAAGGAGGTAAAAATAAAAGTGAAAAAGAAAAGGAGAGTGAGGGTGTGAGTAGTGATGTGAGGGGAAAAGGGAAAGAAGTTGCTGATTCCTCACCCACCTCTGAAGCGGTTAAACTGGCAATCTGTGGATTGAGCCAGAAAAGGTGGTAGAGAGTAGCAAGAAAACAGTGGAAAGTGGTTCAAGGGAGGCTGCTGAAGGGCTGGTCAATCTCAGTTCACATGCAGATGAACCCGGTTCATCAATTGAGGAGACTCTAGCAGACCTTCTGAAAAAAGTGGGTGAAATCTACAACCCTAAGAAAAGGAGAACCCCAACACCAAAAGCTCCCAGCACTGCAAAAACTACTAAGAAAAGGAAGTCTACTTCTCCAACAACTGCTGCGATTCCTCTACCAAAAGGAAGGGCCATAAGGAGTAAGTTGAAGCAGAGTGAGGATGAGTTACAAAAGGCTATAGAGGAAAGCAAGAAGAAAAGAATGGACAAAGGGAAAGCTAAGGTTGTAGAGCCTGTTGAGGCTGTTGATGTGGATGTGATGGACCCGGTCCATCAGGATGAACATGTGAGTGTGGAGGTTCATACCCCTAAGCTCAAGAAGACCAGACTTCTTCAAAGAAGTCCTCATCAGTCTCCAAGGCTGTTGAACCCTCTTCTTTGGCTAAAGGAACAAGGTCTGATGTGAAAGCCAAGCAAGTTAAGATTACTTAGGAAGAAAATTAGAGTGGTGAAGAAAAGGGTGAATCTAACTATGAACAAGATAAGCTGGCCAAGTTTGGCAAATGAAGAATCTTGAAGGGTATACTTTTGAAGGATTTGGAGGAATCAGAGATGGTTCGACTGGTTGATGCTCTAGTTGTTTAGGGCTTGAAGGACATGGTCCTTCAGTTGGATGGCAGGTTGGCAAGAAATGAGATTATTGGGTTCATGGCCAATGCAGAGGTCAAGGATGGCAGAGTTACCAGTCAGGTGAAAGGGGTTCAAGTGACTTTTGATGAAAAATAGCTGGGTGAAATCCTTGACATTCCTTCTGAAGGATATGATGACTACACAAGGCAAAAATGTCCACGTCTGGACTCCCTTCCTACTGCCCTTACCATTGCTAGGAAATTCTATGATGTCACAGAAGTGAATGAGGCCAAGGTTGTGCATATGAGTGAAATGAAGCAATTCCATAAAGTCCTGTTTGAATTTGACAACAAGTGTTTGTTGCCTATCTAGGAAAGAAGACATATTGCTAACTACATGGATTTGGTTTTGATGGAGTGTCTTGAAAGTGGGGATCAACTAACATGTATTTATGATCAAGCTACTTGATAGGGTTACCAATAGCTCCAAGGCCCATGCCACTCCTTATGGTTTTATTCTCACCATTGTTCTTGCTCGTTGCAAGGTGCCACTAAAGAAGCGGGAGACGGCCACAAGCAAAGATCATTTTGGAATCAACACTCTGATTGCTTGTGACTATGAGGCCAATGCCATTCCCAATGAACCCGGTTCATCTAGAAAGACACCTATCAATAACAAGGTTAGAGCTCTATTGCAGGAGAGTGGGGCAAAGGATACTAAGATAGCTAGGCTGAAGACTCGGTTGGCCGAGTTGAATCTGAGAGAGATGCTCTCAGAACTGAGCTCATAAAAGAAAAGGAGAAGAATGATGGCATTCTTCAAGACATGCTGCACCTCCTCCAAGCCAAAACCCAACCCTCTAGTTCTTCCAAGCCTTAATTTACTTAGCCCTCATTTCTTGAACTTTGTCTAGACCTTTTTTTTTCATCCGCTAGGCAAGCGCCTAGGGCTAATTTTTTATTAATAAAAGAAGAAAAAAATACAACAATTAGGAAAAGTATAAATAAGGGGGACAATAACACCTGTATTGTTACCCATATGCATTGGCTATATAAACACTCCTCTACGCCTCACATTGCCTTATGATGGCCGCCTCATGTAAAGGTTCATGGTGTAGCTGTCGGCAACGTCTCACGAGGGCATATAATCTCATAGACATGTGGATATTTCCAAAGGCATAGGACCAAGGCAACACTAACCGTGCTAAACCTTACCTTACCAATCCTATTGAGACAAAGAGAAAGCCTCATCTTCTAGCCAGCATGTAAAAAAAGGAACTTGAAAGTACCAAGTACTCTATGATCGCCACAGAGTTTATAACACACTCTATGACGCTATTACAAGTGATGATGCTTTGAAAATGATAAACTAAGACAATGTAGAAATTAGAATCTTGCCCCTCATTTATCAAACTTGTGAGTTCTTCAATTTGAACGTCCTTAAAATACTCTTTAACTGTCTTCAAATAATCTTCAAAGTTCTTCATTTGTTGTCGTATCTATTGGACTTCGTAGAGTTGGAGGAGGCAACCCCTTTTTTCTTTGCAGCTCTTATTGGGAGTTGCCTGAGTGTTATTTCTTGAGTCACCTTCTTTTTTTCAGTTTTGTTAGAAGTGAAATCTCCAGTTGTAGCCGCCTCTTCCGGACAAGATTCAATCAAGTCATCCTCTTTTGCTTCTTCGGAGATGGCAACGCGTAAGTTAGCCTCAAGATTTTGATTAGCTTCATCTTGTATAACCATCCACAATGGTTCATGCCTCTTCAGTGTCTTTGTATTACTTGGTTCCTGTCTGTTTGTCACTGAAAAATTCAACTTCAGTCCGGTCATTTTTGAGTATGATGAGTATGCACTTTTGTGTGGTTTTGGACTGCCCAAAGCATCCAGCAACTTTCTGTCCTCCAACGAAATAGCAGGTATATCAGTTACCATTACTTTGGCTCCAGTCATGTTTGCATTATACTGTTGCTGCCCAGTCGTGTTTGCATTGGACTGCTTCTTCCCAGTCTTGTTTGCATTGGACTGCTGCTGCCAAGGATTAGTATTAACATCAGCTGCAGTTGTTGTATGTTGCTGATGCTGCCCAGTCGTGTATGTTGCTGATGCTGCAGTTGAGTATGATCGATCAGCAGAAGAATTCAATGCAATAGTATCAAATTGAACTCCTGGTTGCATAGCTGATTGAATAGCAGCTCTGTCAGCATATATTTCTATTGCTAGGCCTGCATCAGAAGTAACCTTATGCTCCTATTGTTTCTCAGATTGTCCTTGTGCATCAGAAGTTTGGTCGACCCCTGCACCATCTGATGCAATATTCACAACAAACTCAAGGGGAGTTGCTTGTGTAACTGCTTCAGCATTGTGAGATGTACCAACTAGTGTAGCTGGTAGTTTTGCATTATTTCGAATTGCAGTACTTAATGTACTAGCAGACATCATCTACTGATCGTCGGATTTCCCATTTGCATTCAACGTGATAGTTTTTGCCAGACCATCCTCTTCCTTACCCAGTTGTGCAGATGTATCAGCTCGATTACACCTTGAGTTAGAACCTGTAGCACCTTTGACATTTGCACCAATTTTTGACTTAGCAGGAGCATCCCTTTTGACCATATTTTCCTTTTTTCCTTCAAACACTGATGCAATTCGACCAAACTCCTCACCATCCTGCACTCAATAATCCCAGTGGCCTCAACTGAACCTCCAACACCAGCTCGACCACTTGTAACATCCGATGGAACAGTAGCTTCCAAATTTGACACCACCATAGCTGACTATTTTTCAGTTACTACATTACCACCTAGAACTGGTAAAATCTGCTCAACATCAGCTGAGCCTCGATTACCATCTTCCACACCATTCACTACATTACCAATTTCTGCAGCATCTTCAGCTCGATCATCAATTGGTTCTTTTGTAAAACAACCAGTGAAGCTTTAGACAAATTCTACTTATCATAGGCTTCCACAACTGGATTCACCACATTAAAAATCCTTGCTAATGCTGTCTTAGCAGGGACATCACGTGAAGGTTTAGGTGGACCTTTATCGATCATTGAAACTTCACCTATAGCTGTACCATTACCTGGACGATTCACAAGATTTCCTCCATCTGTTTGCGATACCTGCTGAATTGCAGAGTTTTCTTTTGGTGCTTCAACTTCGAGTTGACCACTATTGGAATCCAGTAATTCGTTAACTTTTTGTCCTGCTCTTTTGGCATTCAAATAAGCCCTTGTATCTCCTTGCAGCTTTTCAACTCCAGTTGTCTCAACAACAGGCAGCTCTTGCACACCCATGTTTTTTGTCCCAACTCCTTCGCTTTCCTTATCCTTTTCAGCCATCAAACGACATGTTCTTTCCTCATGCCCCTGATGCTTACAAAAAGTGCAAAATTTGGGGAGATTATCATACACTACCTCTTGATAATGCTCAACAAATTTTCCAGTCGACTTATCAACGATGTGCAACTTTACTCGCTTAGGGTGCTTGTCTAATAGGTCTAACAAAATCTTTACCCTAGCAGCACTTCGCCTTGTTTGATCTTGTGTTGCCTCATCCACTGCAAGAGGCTTTCCTACAGCTGAAGCGATTGACAGTAATGACTTCTTTGCGAAAAAATTCGGAGGTAAATCAGGCAACGAAATCCACACCACAGATTTTGATGTTTCCTCCTTGGGATTAAATCCTATCGTCCATGGAAACGTTCTAAAAAAGAATTCGTCACCTTTATCTTTTATGTAACCAACTGACCTCGACAAGAACTGGACATAATCTTCAAACAAATAGAACCTCACCAGAATATGTCGAAATTCAAGTTGTCCAATATTACACATACCTTTAATGTCGTACTATTTCGGGATGAGTTTACGCAGGTCATGTACATCTGGTTTCCCATATGAGAATTTCATAATAACTGCTTGGTGTAATCCCTCTTCAATGGTAAATTGATTTACCTCCTCCATAGTGAATTCTATAATTGGCTCTTCATGAACAAACTTCACAAGATTCAAATCAATTTTTGTCGAAGTAGCAGCTGTTTTTAAGGTTTGTAAACGAGCAACATATGATTGTGACATAATATGGGTAGGATTTGTATTATTATATTTTTGGTTTGGCTCTCCCACAGCCAAAAGTTGGGGAGAGACGACAACATCTATGGCTGCTCAAAACGTCACCATATTGACGTGAAGAGTAGAATTCAAGACAAAAATCTAGAAAAAGCTGTTGCTACAGTAACTCGCATGATAGAATTTAAGATCTGAAAAAATTGGTTATGAATTTGAGGATGAAACCAATTGGGGATTGTGCGCAAGAGTAGATGTTTCTTTTGACACCAAGATTGCGACAATCCACCGCCGGATGCCGGAGTTATGGCTGGATGAATTGTGACGGAAAAGGGCCTTTTAAAAGGATGATATACTTAACTGGTCAAACGGCCGTTAGTCTAGACCTTTCGGTGACCCAGATTAGGGATTTTTCTTGTTTTGCTCATGTTTTGACTATTTTTTTTCTTTTTGTGGATTGTGGGAGAATCATTCTCTATCAATGAAGTTTGCAACTTTTGCTCTTGTTGACTGTTTATCTTTCCTTGATGGTTTGAATATGTTTGGTTGATTACTGATGATTAATCCATGATTGCACTTGCAGTTGCCCCAGTGGACATGAGTAATTTTTAAAATCTAGGAATCACACTTTGTTTATGCAACTTTTCGATGATGCCAAAAGGGGGAAAAATATTGTGCTTTATATTCTGAATAAGTGATGTTTATAACCTAATGAACCTGGTCCTTTATGAAAGGGGGAATTTGTTGGCCCAAGTAAAGGTGAGTTTTGAAGCGTGGCAAAGGAACTAAGACATGGACCAGGTCCATCCTAGTGAAGCACAAATATGGTCTACTCAAGCATGTGAGATGCACGTGAATGAGATAAACCTAACTTACCAGAAGTGATATCTCCTGATCCTGATCGAAAAGGTTGCATATTGGATAAGGAGAAAGACTCTTTACTCAAAGAGAACACGGTTTAAGAGAAGGATAAAGTAGAGGTTGATATCAACTAGAACTCTTCCACCAAGGAAGAGTAGCATCAGAATTCTAGTCAATCTCTATTTACTAACTCCATAAATATCAGTGTTGTTCTCTTTTACAGGAAACACGCATAAGCAGAAGTTAAACATGAATTGAGAGCAAAATAGCAAGGCAATTTTGCAAGCAATTTATGTGTGATTCAAGTGTGCAAACCTGAAGCTACATGAACCAGATAGAAGAACCAGTTCCAAGTGTCGGTCTTTTATTCTAGTTCAATTGTAGTAGATATTTTCATATTGTAGCTTTCAGCTTTATCTAGAAGAAATTGTATTAGGTACTCAGAGTTTTCCAGTTAGAGTTAACTTGAAGTTGTCGCAACAGTTGAGGCTGTGTGCTACAACGGGATTAGAGTTAGTCCTAAGTTTACAAAAGAGTTTTTGTAAATGCAGTTTTGGCTCAGTGATTTTAGTGGATAGTTTGGGAAAATCCTACTGGAAAGTAGGTCGTGGTTTTTTTTCCACCTTTTGAGCTAGATGTTTTCCACGTAAAATATCTGTGTTCATTAATTTCTGTACTTATTATTCCGCAACAGTAGTAGTTGGAACACATAAAAGAACCAGGTCCTTCTATAATCAGGTTAAGCAAAAAATTGGACACCACACAAATCACCCTCCCCCTTGTGTGGTATTGAAATATAAAACATCACAATTCAAAAATAAAAACTGAAATGAGTCTGCCAGAATATCACGTCCATTTAACCTGTATTTTTTATTGACTTAGTGTAATGCTTATTTTAAATATGTATAGATTAGCTAACTGAGATGCTGCTTTCTATAACAGATAATTTCATGCTGATTCCTTCGGAATTTTGGGTTTCTAAACAGTCTCCTAACATATATATATGGTTGTGTACATCTTTTGAAGTCTTAAGAATATGGTGTAAAATATTACTACGCAGATTTAATCCTTTGGAATACATTACGTACCACTAGAGGCTCTTTATTTTGCATGCAATAATACAGTTTTAGTGTGTGACCTTTAGACTAATCCCAGGATTATAATGCAACAATTGAGTTTTACTGAGCATCATTTCTTCTTGAATCAAACAATGGTTAATCATGGCCAGCATAGATACCTGATCGAATTGTTCGCAGAGAATATTAAAATACAGTACATACTGGTGATAGTTACTACATTGGTGTTCCACACCTATATTTGGTAAATGATAATGATGTTGGGCTAAATTTGTCCAAAAATATTCTTAACATGCTGCGATATTTTATGCTTGAGCCAAGTCCTCACGATTTTTCCCTAATGGCCTGACATAATTAAGAGTACCGAATAATTTATAAGTACTTTTTTTTTCTACTTTCTAAGTGGAACTTTATTCACATACCCTTTGAACTAAGTCTTACATGATCCATCATTATGATGAACTAATTTGAAGCTTAACTTTGTGTCACCCACAACATTCGAGTTAAGGGTGGCAAGTGAACCGGTCCGGAACTGAGACCGCGGGCCAAACGGGCCAGGATTGGTAGGAACATATTTGTGGGCCTGGTCATGTCTTCTAAGTCGGTTCAACAGCTTGGGACTGCTAGGACCGGGACCGTTTGGGACCGGGACCGGACCGGTCCCTGGCGGGCAAAACGGTCCCAACGGTAAAATTTCAAAATAAAAATAAAAATCTGGCCGTTGTAAAATTTAAAAAAACAGTTGCTGAGCTGTTTAGAAAATAGCCGTTTAATCCCCCAACTTTGTTTTAACCCCAAATATTTTATAATTATATTTTTTCCCTATTTTCAATTATAAATACCCCGTCATCCTTTCATTTTTCTTACAAAATCATCAATCTATCACAATCTCTCTCTAAGTTTCTTCTATAATTGCTACTATTGCTTACTTTATTGTTACAATTTGTGAAAAAATTGTAAAGTTGGTGAATTGAAGTCCTCAACGATAATCAATTTTGAACAAGTTGTTCGTCAATTCGGTAAATTCGTTCCAAATCTTAAGTTTTAATATTATAGTTTTGTTTGTTTTATTTATTTTCTATTACTTGATTAATTAAGATGGCTTCCTTACAAAAACGTTTTGGTAAAAAATAAGGGAAAATCTAAGAGTGGCGAATCTAGTGGTCATGCTGTTCCTCCTCCATTGCCCCCGGCTCCCCGAACCAAACCCCATATCCGTCCTACACCTACTATTCTTGATAGCGATAATAGTTTATTACAATTTACTGAGATTCAATTTTGTCATAAAATTGCAGTTGGTGAACAATTTGACCATGAATTAATGAATGCTCTTTATTCTAATCCAACTATGGATGAAAATGATGATGAGGAAATTGATTTTGATGAAACTCAACCGGATGATAATACACCCACTAGTCCTGCTTCTGATGTTAACCCAATTAGTGATAACCATGCTAATCTAAATGATGCCCCATCTGATACTATTGTTACTGCCCCTACGTTTTCTAGACAACCTACCAAACGAAAGGAAACATCTCCTGTTTGGCCATTTTTTACTCAATTAATTCCAGAAAATAAGGCTAAGTGTAAAACTTGTGGTCCGAAGTTAGATTTTAAATATTTTGGATTGCGCGGGGGAGGGGGGGAGGGGAGGCAGTGCTTGTCACAATCCGAAATTCCCACCTTCGGGATCGTGATGGCGCCTAATATTTCACTTGCTAGGCAAGCCAACGTTGGAGGATTCTTAAACCCAACTTTAGTCAATTTCAATAACAAAACAATTAGGCTAAACATAAACTAAAACAGAATCGCGGAATAACATAAAACCCATAATATCTGATACAATTCGGATTTGGAGTCATAATTCACGAGCTTCTAAGATTTACTACAAACAAAGTCTGAAAGAAAATAAAACTGTTTTGAAAGAAAGGAAACCGCAAAATAAAGAAACTAGGAAGGGACTCCAGGGTCTGTGGACACTAGTAGATCTACCTTGGGTCTCCAACAAGGAAGTCCAACTGCTAACCTCACGATCAGCTATGACCGGTACACATCTTCACAAGAAGTGCATAGTGTATTATGAGTACAACCGACCCCATGTACTTGTAAGTGTCTAGCCTAACCTCAACGAAGTAGTGACGAGGCTATGACAAGACACCTACATAATAAACCTGTGTAAATAACAGTATATGTACAAGATAGCGACAAATAAAAGCTAGACAGGTAATATCGGGAGGGGGACATGCTAAAAGGGATACAAGATACGAGAGATGCAACGGAATGATAATCAAAACACTCAATATGCCTTTAACTAGTAAAACAATTAAGCACAAGGAAGAAAGATTGTACGACATCACCTTTCATGCTTTTACTCTCATCCTCACAATGAAACAATGATAATGCATGGCATCACCCTTCATGATTTTACTCTCACTCACAGTATGAATCAATAGAAATGGCACGACATCACACTTCGTGCATTAACTTTCATATATGGCACAACATCACCCTTTGTGCATTAACACTCACAATATGGCACGACATCACCCTTCGTGCATTAACACTCACAATACGGCACGACATCATCCTTCGTGCATTAACACTCTCTCTTACCACATAACAATGAACAAGTAATAACAGGGAGATAGGATCAACAAGTATAAGCGTTACTTCAACAACGGTTCCACAATACCAATCTCAACTCGGAATCAATACTCAATTATCACCAAAGCTCATAAACACGATAAGAACAATCAATTTAACAATTAACCAGTCTAAGCATAGATAACATGATCAAGGAAGGCAATAATTGCAAAGAACAAGTCACACCCG